TCTGGATCTCACCTTTAATTCCTGACACAGCAAATGTTGTGGAGGCACTCCCTGAGAAAAGGAGGCAGCAAATTGTCACCTCCATACTCTTCCATCTGCAGGGAGGGTGGTTTTATTGAGGATCATGTGTATTTGGATTAAAAATGAGCTATAAAACTCTAATACATTTACTGGACATTGCCTAGTCAGAAAAAAATGAGTAAGTGGTATTTGTACTGGATTTGTTTCTAAAATGCAATTAAAAAACTCCCGTAAAGATGAAGGGTTGTAGCATTTACTGTTCATTCCAAGTAAACTCTCATTCCATGTTTAGTTTACTCTTTTTTGGTTTTTAAATGTATCTTACTACGCCAGCTAGTAATAAGGCAAGGAAGAAACAGGAAAAAATTCTATTATCTGATGAAAGTCAATGATGGTGTTTTGTGCTGATGCAGTTCAGCTGGAGCCCTCTTGCTCTTTGAAACAATTTTGGAAAAGACCAAGTAAGGAAAATTCTCCAGACTATCCTGACATTAAGCACTAGTTCTTTTCTGGCAAAAGCATCCCTATAGATGAGTGAGCATTCAATCTCACCATGTATTCTTTTTCTGGACTCTGCTGAAAATGCCTCAGTTTAATGCCAAATCTGTATGAAGATCTTTCATATTTATCTCAGAAAAAAAAAATATATATTTAGTACACATATTGGAACAAAATTAATGATATGCATGACAATATTTGTAAAAGGTAATTTCTTATCAGGGAATTGCAGATGGAAGCAATTTCTCTGTTGTAAATTAACAGCTATTAAAATATTATTTACTTTATTGTATGAATTAATAATATCACTGTAATGGCTTTTCCTAACTTTCAGTATTTAAAATGGATGGAATAAACCACCATGTCTCTGTGTCTCACTTTCAATCACAAGTCATACACAAATATAATTATTTGCATAGAATTAATATGTAAGCTTTGGAAGAGGAATCCATGAACTCCACAAAGTTTTTTAAATAACCAAGACTATATATCAGTTTGAAGTTTCAGTACTAAGGGAGATGACATTTAATATCAATAGATGAAACAACTTATATTCAAATAGCAGAAGGTTGTAAGTTTATTGCTATTATGCAATGAATAGGAAAATCATGATATGTGTGTTTTCCTCACTGCCTATGACTACGAGGAATTAGACCACATTTTATGGCACTTAGGAGTAGAATTAGTTTTTGCACATACGTATGACTGCTGTTCTGAATGCTGTCCGGCTTGTCTCCCTTTTTGCAATGTATATGTTCAAACGGATAAGGTTCCATGTAAAAAAAATTAACGATAATGCATATTTTTTTTCTATGTTTTACTTTCATCTATGCATTCAAATCTGTAGATAAAAATCTTACCACAAAGTTTAGTCTGGAAGGCAGATGTCAGTGTTTCAATCTGACTGAAATTAGCAACCAGAAACACATGCTCTTCATGCGGCTCACTCCCAATGGACTTCAGCGTGTTCATATCTACTCTTCCCACTCCAATGGCAAAAATCAAGATACCCGAGTTACGAGCTTTAGCAGCCATCTCTGCCACTGGATCCTGAGGTCTCCCATCTGTCACTATCATGATAATTCGGGGCACATTCTGCTTCAGAGGTCGAGCTCCTTCTGACTCTGAAAATGCAATGTTGACTGCATACTGAATAGCCAGCCCAGTCATGGTGCCGGTTGCCAGGTGCATCATCCTCTTCACTGCTCTTTCAATATCCTGCTTCCTCCTGAATGTCTTCAGCGAAAACTCGTGTTTGACTGTGCTGCCATACTGAATCAGACCTACTCGGGTGGCATCGGGACTGATGTCCAGAAACTGCAAGATGGTTAAAATGAACTCCTTCACTTTTTCAAAGTCATAGGGACGTACACTGCGAGAGCTGTCAATGATGAAGACAAGGTCCAGACGTTTGTTGTTGCAAGTATTTTCTGGAAGGCAAAATACAAATAAAAATACTTTACAAGAATTTCAAAATGCAATTCAGTTCAGGTTGACCTGAGGTCTCAAACATGCTGTCTAAGCAAACACCCTGACTAGTGCGGGGAAAATACAGGAAAAACGGGAGATGCCAGAACTAAGGCTACTTGGACAATATAAATTTGGCCTCCAGTAATTAACAAAAGCTCCCTGTTATGTGATCAGTGTGTGTGTATATATATATTTTGTTTTGTTTTGGTTTTTTTTTTTTTTAGTGATCAGTGTCCAGAACGGCTAATCGCAGTGGAATGGGTAGATACTTGTGCCATACCCTGTTCTGTCACTGTTGTTGAGATTTTGACCTCATACCCCACGTAGGATGGAGACACCCTCTGAATGACGTAGTTACTATTTAAGTGGGATGCACTGGGATGCTTTTTATGGTAGTGCCTGAGAATTTAGAAATCTAACAGTCCAGTGAGGCAGGGTGGTATCAGTCCTCCATTACGAACAGGGATAACAGAACACAAAGAAATTCAGGCCAAAAGCATCTATTAATTGCAGTGACCGATACAAGATGTGAAAGGACTGATTTTTCAGGGAACTTGGCATCAAGCAGCACTTTGCATGCACAATGTACAGTTCTCAGTGACATCAACTGCAGCTGTGAGTGCTCAGCACTTCTGCAAATCAAACCCCATAATTCCGAACACATAATTAACGGCCACCTGGGAGACGTCTCTTCTATTGGACAAACTCAGAATCATACAGAAATTCTGTGGCTGCATCAAAGAGAAAATCCTGTTGTCTACAGTGGCACGCAACCTGGCCAAAAGGCCACTCATACACTTCCTGAAATATTCTATTTCAGTCACCAGCAGTCTTTTCTCCCAAGAACCACTGAAGCAGAAATACCACAGGGTCTGTCTATATCTGACAATTGCACAGGCGGACAGGCTAAGCTATCATGAACAGCAGAAGTGAAGGCTGGGTACCTTCTGGACATGCTACAAGATTGCTGGGATCCTGGATACATCCTCTGGCTTCTGCTTAGCATCCATCTTTTTTGAAAGAATATGAGACATATGCATGAGTTGCACGAGAATGGATAGGAACCGACCACTCACAGAAAGCCAGCACATGGCAGGCTTAAGGCAAGCAGGGGGAGGTGAGCCACGAGCCTTGCCACAGAAGGCAGCATACGGCAAAAGATTAAAAGGACTTTAAAGGGCTTAATGGGATGCTGGTGAAGATAAATCAACTGAAGTTTAATATTTACATTAAAGACCTCTCCAGATTAGGAAATCCCTGAGACACAAAAGCATGGCAGTTGGGGGAATTTTCATATGCATCCTCTTTTGACTGCTGTTAGAGATAGAATATGGGGTTAGATAGACCTTAGATAGACAATCAGTGTGTCTGCTCATGTTCTTAGATTCCTGGGGCTATGAATAAACCTCTGAGGTAGCTAATTGCCCATTTGTCTGCCTGTCTTGAAAGATTAAAGGTGGCAAGAATGCCCATCAAACTTCAGTAGCATCCTCATTTTACTAAGTGGAGATACCCCTAATCAATAATTTCGCTTATTGCCCAACCCAATTCAATTCCCCATGCACTCTCATCCATCCTGTGCACTGAATGAGGCAAATGCCTGGTGGAAAAGTAGTATTGGACTGTATAATTAAAGGTCATGTCATACTGCACAAGTACAAGTGGGCCAATCAAAGACTCAACTGGAAAAACATCTGTCTGCAGACAAGCCTTTCCATGAGTTCACTTGTGGCTGCTGATGAATGCTGATCATGTACTTCTGCCATGGCGAGGGGTGAGATGCCTGCTTTCCCTTGTGAACTCAGAAGCCTCTTTCATAGATGACCAAGAACATTTGTGGGCATAGAATCAAAATGCTCTTTGACGACAATAAAAATGACTGCCTGGGTTTATTCATGCGCAGTCTACAGTATGGCTTTATTCATAAGCGTAGGAATATGTTCGGGTTGCTCATTCTTGCAAAATAGAGGATGTTGAATGCAAGCCAAATCGAACAGAAACAAAATTCCAGTTCTAATGGGATACAGATATCCTGATATATTAACTATTTTCCATCTTATTATCTTAGTGGTGTATCTAATTATTAATTATTTTTACTAATATAACATGAAACATTCCAGAATGTTTGTAATACAAAGGTAACACTAAGATATGATTTGTGGGAGCAGAGCAAGGGGAAAGACAATTGCAGAAAAAATGCTAAGAGTATGTGTGTGTATATGAGAGGAAGGACTGAGAAGGGAGAAGGGTAAAATGACTGCTATTTTATTTCTCTTAAAACAAGCCAAAATTAGAGCCACAGTGCTGAATCCTTTTAATTTGAATATAAACATTTGGATGCCAGTCTAAAGAGACTCAGTTATTTATTTTGAAGTCAGGCATGAATCTTGGCAGGAAAAAACCTGGACAGCATTAGTGGTAGAAGCACACCCCATTGATAGATATTTCTTAAGTAATTTAGCCCAATCTGAACGTAATACAGTATCTTTCAAAACTACTTTCACTAGCAAAATTCTATCTATAGAAATACCAAACATTTCCAAATGAAAGTGTATTTAAAATCTTTGTCTTCAGACTTGGTGGGAATTTTTAATAATCTTGCTATTATTAAAGTTGATTAAACTGAGATGGGCTCCATGAAAAATAAGCAACATTCCAGCTGGATGGTATTTTGAGGAGTGGCAATCAGTAATGACTAACAGATCTGAACAATCATCCCCTCAGATAAACCTTCAGCAATACCTTTTTAGCAGTGGCATGCTTTTGCACTTGCCCTGTAAACTATAACCTCTTCCTGCTACCATTTTAGACAGGGAACTTTCTCACAACTTTGGCAAATGTCCTTGTACCCAAAAGCAATTCCTTTCCACTCTTCTTATGAAAAGTGACATATCCATTGAAAAGAGCTACTCATCCATAAACCTGCTTCTAAGTCAGCAGTATTTTTTTATTGCCAGCACAAAAGTTAAAAAAAACCTCAGTGTGAGTTGTATTATCCAAAGGCAAGGCCAGGAGCATCAAGACAAGGACAGACAAGGCAGGGGAAGGAAAGGTCAAGTCATAGGAAATACATTCTCCTCCTCCACTCAATATCCAGTTTGTCTGTAAATGACTGTTACACTGATGTTGCCTTTGCAAAATTAACAGTGCAAGGAAATTTCAGTTCTACTTGGAAGAACACAGCTGGGATCTAACTACCAAGAGATATATAAAACAAAAGGCTTAAAGGAATATTCCACACTGAGCATCTTAATTTCCTCTAAAGCTCAAAATTCTGTTAAATTATTTGCTCTGATCCCTGCAGGTTTCCTTCTACTCATTAAGCTCAGGCCTGAACCCCTACTTTGTCTTTGACAAAGCTCACATTGCTTTGACTTTGCTCACCCACTCAGGGTCTCTGCCTGAGAGTGTGTTTGTACCCTCTCAGCTTATTTCTAACGAATGCCACACTGCCTTAATATAACTGCAGCAGCACCAGGGAGTTTTCCTGGGCACTGGAGTTGACTCTTCTAGGCTGTTATATCACTAGAACAGTTCCTGGTATTGTTTGTCCTAGGACAATTAACATTTTTTCAAACAATCCTCTGGCATGATATGGGAAGTAGCACGAGCCTGGGACCCATCCTAATAAGCAATGTGGATGCAACTGCTCTGTGAGCTCAGGGTATTCAGTGCTACAGACGCAGGGCATCCTATCCGCTGGTCTCAGTGCCAGGGAGCAGTCTAAGATAAAAGCTAAGCTCAGAGGCCAACTGGCCTGCATCCACAGGATTAAACTCACCTTCCCCCTAAAATAGAGTGGCTGTATGCAAACTGCCTACTGGGAATAATCCCTGTCCCCCCTGTAGCCTCTGAACCATGCACAGGGACTGCTCTGGGAGTGCTAATCACTGTGGGCCAGAGACAGCTCCAGCAATTTAACAGCAACAATAACGGTGGAGTCCCAGTGCCCAAGAATGTCCCCTGGCACTGTTTGATTTCCTCAGACATTTCCATTTTTGGATATTCCAACTGAACACATTCAAAGGACCCAAGTTTTAGGTGGTGATTTTTCAAAAGCTTTTGCAAGCCAGCTCCCTTGAAAAGACTGATTGTTTAAAAATTAGTTATTTATTTTCTACGGTTGCCCTACATATTTATGATTCCTTAACACTTTTTTTTTTTAATCTGGATATTACTTATTTGGTTATGTAGGTCTTTATCCTAACACATGAGAATGGGTAAATGTCAAAGAAGGCTATTGCTGTATGCAGAAGGAGTTTATCTCAATTTGGTAAATACTACAGCAAAGTTAAGACATGGAAATAGTAATGCATGACAAGTAAATATTAGTTCCATGAGGATGTTTGTTACAGAGTAAGGCAATTTAAGCAAAAAGGAAGGATGAGAAAAAAAAAACAGATCACAGAAAAAAAATTGCCTGAGGAGGCAATGCATTAATGGCAATTTTAAGACTCAATATACTGTGTTGCTTAGCTCACTCCATAGTAACGTATATACAAAAAAATTACATGTCCTGCGACACTGCCAGCAAAAACATCAGGTTTATTTTTAGATTTTATCTTTGAGTAACAGAACAAAAGTCTTCATTCAGAATTAAATACTATTCTCCCAGCCAGGACATTATAAAACTCCTTCCGAAATTCTCTTCTTTCTTCGTCATTTTATTATTTCATTTTCCCTCTAGCACTCAACCTTACTTGCTTCTCTTCTCTTTATAACTTCTTTCTTTATAAGGCTCGGTATAACTCCTACCAAATTTGTGTCAAAATGTATGAACTTGCTGGATGTCAAATATTTATTCTTAAAGTCTAGACTTCTGATTTTCCCTAGCTAAATATCCAGCCAGAAAGACTGGGTTTGACAGGTTCTCAGATATTCCAAAAGGTCTTAGTTCATCAAGAAGGTTTAATCTTCTTGCCATACAATCATACAAGTAAAGAACATTCAAATTTGCAAT